TTGATGAACTTTATATTATCCTGAATTTGAGTGATTATGTGATTAGAAAACTAGGAAAGCATGATTCTGCTAGAAGTCTATGGGATAAGTTTGAGGAACTTTATACTGAAACTTCCTTGCTCTCAAAACTATTTTTGCTTGATTTTTTTTTGTAGATTTAAACTTGACTTGAACAAAGAGATTGATGTCAACATCGATCAGTTTACAAAACTTGTTCAAGATATTAAACTGACTGGAGATAAAAATATAGATGATTATACTCCGATTGTTCTTTTAAATGTCATACCATAGTCTTACAATGATTTAAAATCTGCCATTAAATATGGTAGGGACTCTGTGACTTTTGATGTTGTTATAAATGCTTTGGAATGTAAGGAGTTGGATTTACAAGTGAACAACGACAACAAATCTTTTGGTGAGGTGAACTTTATGAAAGGAAAGCAACAAAATCGTTTTCAAAACAAAAACCAAGCTTTAAATCAAAATGGTCAAAGTTCTTCAAATTTTCAAAACAAGAAAAAAGGCAAGTAGAATGGAAAGTATAATGTGAAACTCACTACTCCTAGGAAGTGCTATAATTGTGTTGATCTAAACTATTTTTCTAATGTGCTCCCTAAACCTAGGAGAGATCAAAAAATTGCTAATGTAAATCAAGTTTTTGAAAATATTGGTGATGTATTTATGCTAAATGGTATGCATGCTTCTGTGAGTTATGTGTTTGCCTCTCTTAGTGAGAATGAATGGCTTCTTTATTCTGCATGTTCATATCATATGACTCCACGTAGGGTAGTTTTTTCGAACTATGTGCAAATGAAAAATGGTGGTGTTACTTTAGCTGATAGCACTAAGATAGTTGTGAATGGCATTGGAACTGTATGCTTAAAATTGAAACTGGCTATGTGTTAACCATGAAAAACGTGAGGCATGTTCATAGCTTAAGTCATAATTTGAAGATGATGTTTTCGTGGGGATTGGGGAAATGGTTACATGAATATTATGAAGGGCAGTCGTTATTTGTTTAAGGCTTTGAGAATGGAAAATATGTATGTTTGTTTGCTCAATCTTCTGCATTTGTGAATGTGGTCCAAAATGATTTATCAGAATTATGGCATAAACGGCTAGGTCACATGAGTAATAAAGGACTTAGTATATTGCATAAAAATCAGTATTTTGGAAATGATAAAGTGTCTTCTGTGACTCTATGTGATTCATGCATTCTAGGTAAACAAACGCATGTTCCTTTTCCTGAAAACCCTTCCCCTAATCCATCTAGATGCACATAAATCCTAAAATATATTCATGTTGATGTGTGGGGTCCCGCCAGTGTTCCTACACATGGTGAGAACCGTTATTTTCTGTCTATCATTGATGATTATTCTCGTAAAGTGTTTGTTTTCCTGTTAAAGCAAAAATATGATTTCTTTGACAAACTTAAAACCTGGAAAACGTTGATTGAAAATTAAACTGGTAAACGGATAAAAACACTTAGGACAAACAACAGAACTGAACTTTGCAACCTTGAATTCGATTCTTTGTGTTCTGAATCTGGAATTAGAAGGCATAAATCTATTGTGCACACCCCACAACAAAATGGTGTGGCCGAACGAATGAACAGAACCCTTCTCGAAAGAGTGAGGGTTATGTTAACTAGTTATGGAATGCCAAAATTGTTCTGGGGTGAAGCAATTTTGACTGCTACTTATTTGATTAATCGTTCTCCATCTGTGCCATTAAATGGCGATTTACCCAAATCTGTGTGGTGTGGTAAGAAAGTAGATTTGTCAAACTTGCATGTTTTTGGTTGCGCTGCTTTTGTTCACCATAAATGTGATAAACTTGAATCCCGTTCCGTGAAATGTGTTTTCTTAGGATACCCCGATGGGGTTAAGGGATATAGGCTTTGGTTGAAAGGGAATTTTGGTTATTAAATCTGATGATATGAGTGATTCTGAATTATCTGAAAATCTGCAAGATCAAACCGTTGAAACTGATTTGCCTAATGTGGATGATTTGTCTGACTATCAATTTTGTAGGGATAGACCTAGACGTGAGCATGTTAGGAAACCTAAACACTTTGATGATTTTCACCTTGCCTTCCATGTTTTCAATGTGTTTGAATCATTAGATGGAAATGAGCCTAAGTCGTATAAAAATGCTTTGAAATCTAATAAATCTACCGAATGGTTAAATGCTATGAATGATGAAATGAAATCGCCGTATGTTAACCATACTTGGAGACTTGTGCCTAAACCTGCTAATTGTTACAGTGGTTGATTGCAAATGGCAGGTGGCTCGACGAGCTCCAGGTGGGAGGCTCGGGGTTCCTTTGTTCGAGGCTCGGTGCGCTTTGAAACAAAGATGGTGTGAGCCCCACGCGCAAATTGTGGGGAGGCTCGATGGTCCTTTGTGGTCCAATCTACGTGGCCATTTGTTCGAGTTGAGGATTGTTGAGGTGCAAACAATGTCCCACATCCGTTTAATATAGGAAAGATCTCTCCTTTATAAGGAGGGGATAACATCTCCATTGGTATGTGGCCTTTTGGGGAAAACCCAAGATCAAAACCAGTTAGGCCCAGCCAATTGAGACAACATCATACCAATGTGGAATTTGTGAGTGGTATCAGAGCAATGACCCACCTAACCATGTGGTGAAAATTGCCGGAATTTGTGTGAAATTCCCGAATCCTCGGTGCCGAAGAAAAATGGTGAGCTCCCGGTGCGCAAATAGCAGGTGGCTCAAAGAGCTCCAAGTGAGAGACTCGGTGTTCCTTTGTTCGAGGTTCGATGGTCTTTTGTGGTCCGACCTATCTGGTCCTTTTTTCGAGTGGAGGATTGTTGAGTTGCATCCCGATGGGACCCAACACACCCCACTTTTCAACTTCTCCGAGCCCCTCCCCTATTTCATCTCCCTCCTCTTCATCTTCGACAACCTTCTGAACTCCTATCGTCATCTTGATTCTTTCAACCTTACTCTTCATAAGTTTATCAACAATATCGATTGTCTCAACATCAACTAACTTCTGCAACTTCAAGATCTCCCTGTAAATAAATAAATTAATTAATTAAAAAAAATATAAAAGAAAATGAGTAGAAAAAGGAAAATAGTAAAAGATAAGAAAACTTACCAAAAAACTATCAGCTGGTGTCTTAGCCATCTCAATCAATTAAATTCGTAATGAATATTTTATTAACCGTTCCAGATAGAATGTTTAGAAAATGCGGCTGGATAAAAGTAATTGTAGTAGAAGGCGCCATAAATATATGATTTATTAAGAAAGCATTGTGGAGATTTAATTAGATGAACCTTGGGCTGTAGTATGTAGGTAAGCTTTTATGGCATTGCCATGATCCAATTTTTCTAAGTCCACATTTTATTCCAAATGTCAAATTTATGTAATCATCATCATCATTATCATCATCATCAAAATTGGTGTATCGATTGATCAACACAAACACTAAATAATTTTTTTGGTAGTTTTACTTGTCAAAATTCATTAATTGTTGAAATTATGGATTGATGGATGAAATCGAAGGCTTGAGAATCTTGTCTGTCATTTTAGGTGGAAGAAATTGTGTTATGGACCTATTCGTAAATAAGTAGGCCCTTATGGTCTTATACGATATTTGGCATAATTGCTAAATATGGGGAGAATGAACTAGGGTTTAATTGGGTACCGTCGACCATATTGGTTATATTCACCAGGTAACGAATTTCAATGGATAATTGTGAATTTTTTTTATTTTGTTTTTAGAAGAAATATAGCCAAATTCAAGAAAACCTTCATTACAACTAAGATCATTAGGTTTTGCGATGGCGTTCGCCAAGCGGTTATCGGTACATTTGACAAACGACAATATTTTTTTTTTGTTTATTTCATTTTAAATTTTAATTGAATTGCAAATTTGCGATTGCCAGAGGATAACTTGAAATTTAGGAAACAAGTCGATTGTGTGCGTGGAACGAATTTGTTCTCTTATGATAATAAAGTATTATCTCAAATATTAGACTTTTGTTGGGACATAATTCCAATAATTTCTAGATAATTTAGTTAATAGCGAGTAAATTCTATGTTTTAAAAATATTTGGTATCTCTTAATCTTGTTATTTAGGTCTTGTAAATTTCTTGATTCTTGTTTTTGGTTGGCTGGTAAAATTTGTAACCCACTATTTCTTTTTTTAGATATACGAAGCTTTTTATCAAATTGAAACCCACTATTTCTTTTTTTAGATTCATGTTTTCCTTTTTGCAATCCTTGAATTAGATAAACAAACGAAAAATCAAAACCCTACTCCTTTAGTTTCTTGTTTTCCTTTTTGCACAGAGAGGAAATAATGAGTAACAGAGGAAAAGATCGTTGATGATTTTTTTTTTCTTTTTTCTTTTCGAGAGACGATCGATGTTGTTCTTTCAAGAGGAAAGCTCGATGATGAAAAAAGTCATTAGGGAGATTAGGGTTAAGCGATCGTTAAAGAATAAGTCGTAACTTTTTATTTAAACGATTTTAAATTTCAATTTTTAATAAACTTTTAAATTATTGATTTTTAATTATAACTTTAAGTTTAATTAAAAGGAGTTTTTATGTAATTTTACTAGTAACCCAGGGATCGTACTTCCTTTTACTGGGTTCGTACTAATTCTATGTGGTGCATTTTTATTAGCTGATTACGGTCCGAAAACTACAATCCCTCTCGAACCCTAAATTAAGGGAGTGGTATATACTTAAAGGTGGGTCCCATAAAAAGTAATTAGTTGTCAATTTTGTCCACGTGTCATCAAACGGATGATCCATTTCTAATGCTCACTCTCATCTAAACTAGCTCAAATGTTTTAGAATTCTCTCTCTAGATGAGGAATTGTAGAGCTATGTTTGGGTTGCATGAGTTACAAAAGCTATTTATGTGGGAGAAGTTGAATTAGTTGTTTCCAACTTTTAACTTTTTTTTTTATATATATATATAAGTTTTTCTTTTTATCAATCTGTCTTGAAAAGTTGTCCGTGAGACTGATTACCTTACCAGTGACTTATATATGGGATCGGATCGGCGCGTTGTTGAGACGCGTTTATTTGAGGAGCTTGTCAAATCTACGGATAAGCAATTGAGGTTGTTACGGTTTGTCTATTCTATGCTACATCGAGTGAATTACACCCGACAGATCTTTATCATTCATATACACACAAACACACACACATACACACACTCACATTCACATTGGTGTGTGTACAATGGTTAGTCCAGGAATTTGGTACATGTGGCTTAAATTTTCGGCAGCGGCCCTGAATTTTTGTAGGATTTTTTTTGTAATAAAATCAGAAAATAGGAAAAGAAGAAACGAAAAAAAAAACACACCAAATTTCAGAGTTTTTTTTTGTTTTGGCATTAATTTGAATTTTGGGTGGGCTAATTAATAAAATTTGTGACTTTTTTTGCATTAATTAAGATTTTGAGTAGGCTAATTAAAAAAATGGGGCTTCTTTTGCATTAATTGAAATTTTGTGGGGCTAATTAATAAATTTTGAGTGGGCTAAATAGATAGATAGTATAATATAGGGGGGAAATTGTAAATTGAGGGTGAGCTTGAGTCCCCCCTTGCCTAAGGGTGGACTCGCCCCTGTGATCAATAGTAAAAAATCACATGATGTAGTCTTCACCAGGTGTAGCTTATAAATAACCGGTTGTTACTTACATTAATGTTTAGGGGATCACTATTTCAAATCCCAACTTTTGCTTACTTGAATACCAAAAAAATAAAAAATAAATAATTAATTGTAAATTACTTTAATACCCTTAATGAAATTAAAACTAAAAAAATATTACAAATACTATTTTTCTTTCTTAAATACCAAATAATCAAAAACTCAAAAAACCATTTCCCTCCTTCTCCACCTCCTTCTTCTCCCTCCCCAAAAACCCTTCTAAAAAATCTTACTCACAACAAACCCTTCTAAAAAATCTCACAACAAACCCTTCTAAAAAATATCAAAACTAAAGAAATTAAAACCTCACAAAACGTATCAAATTGAGTTATAAGACAATAATATGGTAGTATATATGAAAGGAGAACACATTAAGGTAAGTATCGATGTCTTTTTTGAGCTTCGAAGTCGATTTTGAAGTTTTTTTTTTTTGAACCCGTCGGCAATTTTCGACACATACAGGTCGATTTTTTGGTCAATTTTCGACACCAACGTGTCGAAAAAGAAAAAAAAAAAAAAAAACCAATTTCGACACCTACCTGTCGAAAATTGTCCAAATTTCGACAGGTATGTGTCGAAAAAATACTGTTGGTAAAAAAAAAAAAAAAAAAAAAAAGGG